ACAGACAAACCCAATCCCAGCTCCTCCCTATGGATAAACCCAATCCCAGCTCCTCCCTATGGATAAACCCAATTCCAGCTCCTCCCTGTGGATAAACCCAATCCCAGCTCCTTCATATGGATAAACCCAATTCCAGCTCCTCCCTGTGGATAAACCCAATCCCAGCTCCTTCCTATGGATAAACCCAATCCCAGCTCCTCCCTATGGATAAATCCTCCCCATCCCAGCTCCTCCCTATGGACAAACCTTCCTGGATCCCAGCTCATCCCTATGGACAAACCCTCCTGGATCCCAGCTCCTCCCTATGGACAAACCCTCCTGGATCCCAGCTCCTCCCTATGGACAAACCCTCCTGGATCCCAGCTCCTCCCTATGGACAAACCCTCCTGATCCCAGCTCCTCCCTATGGACAAACCCTCCTGGATCCCAGCTCCTCCTTAGGCCCATCCCAGCTCATCCCTATGGATAAACCCTCCTGATCCCAGCTCATCCCTATGGACAAACCCTCCTGATCCCAGCTCATCCCTATGGACAAACCCTCCTGGATCCCAGCTCCTCCCTATGGATAAACCCTCCTGGATCCCAGCTCCTCCTTAGGCCCATCCCAGCTCCTCCCTATGGACAAACCCTCCTGATCCCAGCTCCTCCCTATGGATAAACCCTCCCCATCCCAGCTCCTCCCTATGGATAAACCCTCCCCATCCCAGCTCCTCCCTATGGATAAATCCTCCCCATCCCAGCTCCTCCTCAAGGACAAACCCTCCAGATCTCAGCTCCTCCCTATGGATAAACCCTCCCCATCCCAGCTCCTCCCTATGGACAAACCCTCCTGATCCCAGCTCCTCCTTAGGCCCATCCCAGCTCCTCCCTATGGACAAACCCTCCAGATCTCAGCTCCTCCCTATGGATAAACCCTCCCCATCCCAGCTCCTCCCTGTGGACAAACCCTCCTGATCCCAGCTCCTCCCGACCCCATCTCCTCGGGGTCCTGCTCACCCTGAGTCTCTTGATCCCGGCCCGTGTGATCTGCTGGCAGTCGTACAGTTCTATCCTCTCCAGGCTGTGGCAGCTCTTGAGGTGCTCCAGGGAGGCGTCGGTGATCAGGGGGCAGTTGTCCAGCTCGATCACCTCCAGGCGGTCGTGGGCGCAGGCGCCGTTGCCCAGGTGTCGGATCCCGTCGTCCGTGATCAGCTCGCAGTGGGATAAACTCTGTCCCCAAACA